ATCCACGCACAAAGCATTGAATTTGGTGATAGGTATGTCTCCACTTTCGCTGATCTCTCGCTGTTGTTCATTTTTCAACCAATCATAAAAAACCTTGGTTTTCTTCAGGGCACAATGATTCCTGGAGTTGTAATGTGGAATATGTTTATTGCAACTTGGATAATTTTTAAAATATAAGTTTTCAACCCGAGGACAGCCCAAATCATCTAGGTTTTCAATCTTTCGGTCCAAGTACTTGGCCAAAAATTCTGTCTTTTCTTTTCCTTTAGCGTAAAAAACGGCACCGGGATTTCTCAGCACAAAACTCTGAAGTATTTGATTCAAGTTTATATAAAGATAATCACCGTTTTCCCAATGGAGACCGTGTAAATAATTTGTTAACCAGTTGTAAGCTTTTTGTTCAAGCTTTGGTAGTATATTGAAATTCACTGGAGGTAGGAAAATGAGTCGATCGCTGTAGTCTGAAGTTGTTATTGCTAATTCTTTAACCACAAAGGCGTTTTTCTTGTAACGAAAGCCTTCCACGTCAAGCACAACTGATCTCTCGCCTAGCATTCTAGTAAATGATAAACTTCTGGTTTTTTCAACTTAATGAAAAGGCAGAACGCTATTCCACTCAAATGTCCCAATAAGCTGTTGTTACAGTTCCAGGGCAACATGTAACAGTACGTGGGACCCTGTTGATAAAATTCGTGCATAAATCCGACCGCATCGTGCAAAATAGCGTGCAATCGTAAAATTTTGGAATTTTTCAAGTATTTGTCCAAGGAAGAGTTATCAATACCAATCAAGCCACCATAAGGTCTCAACTTAATTAAAATGTCGTAGTTAAGGTTATCAGAACTAACAAAAAACAGAGAACATGCAGCTAGAAAATAGTTGCGTCGGTTAGAATTATCAGGATAAGTTTGTTTCAAAGACGTATAAATTTCGTGAATTATTTTCAAATCAATAGGAGTTACTCTGCTTTTTTGCAATTTCATTATTTATTTTTTCCAACACCTCTCCAACCTGCTGAATTTCAAGCCAGTGGAAATAAAAGTGACCTTGCAAATACCATTTAGTCTCATTAAGATAACGGTGGTAAATAATTAAATAAACCACCGGAAGTTTTTTGTATTTTGATAGCTTGTTGAAATATAGACGGATTTTTCTCTCCAAGTCTTTATCAACCCTTTTTGAGGTAAAATCAAACGAATAGTCGAATACGTTTTCATAATCAGCAAAATTCAAATCGCTCACAGTACCATACTGTTGTTTTGTAGAAATGCACCAAGAGATTTGTTGAACCTCACTCAAATAAAATTGTTCTTTGAAAATTAACTCGTATTCTTTCTTTGAAATTTTCTTTGCCCTTTCGAGGAAGACGACGTAGCGTTCATTACTAAATTTGAAAAATGAGTTTTTTTCTGCGGTTGAAAACACTCTTAATTGTAAATGTTCATTATCAATATCTTCAGTACACCAAGTTCCCTCTAATTTCATTTTTCTTATTTCAAAATTTGTCAAATTTATCATTTGGTATATTTTGCCCAGAAACGGCCGCCGCCTTTTGAGAGTAATTTCAATTTACTACACCATAAAATTTAGGTCAAGTTAAGGAATTAGTTTACTGCTGCCAACAGTTAAGCTACGCTGCCAAATTGGCCGGCGCATTTTTATTATATACCATAAAAGTCAATTCCCCGTTCACTAACAAATTTCAACTAGGTCGAAAGTTCATTTGCCCGAAACAAATATAACAATTAATATGATTCATATAATTAACCAGGACCAATAATTAGGACCCCAAAAATTGGAATTAGAAAGAATTTTGTATCGTGTCCCTTGTTGTTAAGCTAAACTTAGCAAGATCCTAAGTAGGGGGTCTTCTGCTTTTTGGGTGGAAAATTTCTTTCGTTTACAAAATCCTAGGATAGGGGTCCTCCAAAAAATTAAGGACCCCTTTCCTAGGATTTTGCTTTACGTGAGGACCCCCCCCCCCCTTAGGAAGGACCCCCCCTTAGGATCCGGGACACGATACAATACTACTCAATCAACTCCTGAAGAAAAACAGTTGCTGCTAAAAAAAGCTGGCTTAAAGGTGTCAAGTAAATTTATCGGTATCATCAATGATAAAACATATAACGCCAATATCAATAGAGCAACTTTGAAAAACTGCGCGAGTATAAATTAATTGATTTTTAGCTTTTCATTTGACTTATGGCTGTACAATTTTTATCACCTAAGATTAATAACTGACTAATTGAAATGATTAAAATTATATTTTTCAAATAAACAATGGGTACCGATTTTAGTGGAGATTTATTTCAAGTCCAATTCCCTACCCACTCATAAAAGTTGATAAAAAAAATTAACCATAACTTTACGAATTTAGAGGCACCTAACATAGTGATAAGGAGTTCATTTTCAGAACGCCATATCAAGTGTTTGATCCTTGCCATGGCAAAGATAAAGGGTGAGAGCGAGCTCTAACTTGACATCTAGCTTCCGGTTTACCACAGCCTGACCGATTTCAGCTGCACTAGTGGTACCAAGTGAAACTTTTAGCGGAAAAAACCGGTCTTGAGTGGCAAGTAAGAGCTTTCCTCGACAAAACAACTGAGTCTGGAATGTGGCAATTTAATACAAAATTGACTATCCTTATACAGGTTTGTTAAACCCACAGATAGCTCCTCTGCAATTCGGAGGAAGCACAATTAATTAAAAGAAAAATTCTTTCCTTTCTTCTTTCGGAGAAAATTTAGCGTGTTCGAACTTCAACTTAATTAGACAATAAGCCACAATAATCTAATTCTAAAAGGGAGAGCGCCAAACAAACGCATTTAATTAGTCAAAATTTTCCAAAAAAAAAGCCCAAAAACGCCATTTTTGACCTGTGTTTTCAAAAATTTGCCAGCGGCGCAAAATTTTAGTAAAAAATGGGGTCTTCATAGTGTTCTGGGAGTGTTCGGAAAACCAATTTGGTCGAACTAGAAAATTTTTGAAAATCAAATTTTGTTTGATTTAATACCTTTCAATTTATCCATTTACGACAATTGGACACAAAATAAGTTAAATATTTAACTTGATGGTAACAGCTATTTGGTTATTGGCAATTCATTTTTGAAATCTGCATCATATTTAGCAGCTTTAAAATTTCGAAAAAAAAGCTATATCGGGGAATAAACGTCAATGAAAATATCTATTCTACAATGAATATTGGCACTATGAACAGTCAATTATTTTGGAAGCATCAGTGGTGGCTTCTGAGGTCGATTCAAGATAATAATAGCGTATTTTTAAATAGAAATTTTCTTTTCGTGTGATGATGATGATTACAAATCAAAACATTTAATCTTAATTACATTCTAAAATATGCAAAAAACTACTATTCCTGGTCTTGTGAAATCAGGTTCTCTCTAATTAAGGAAACAATCGATTTCAAAACGTTTAATCAATTTATTCTGCATCGGTTGGTCTTTTGCGCTGGCTAAAATGGAGATATTACAGTTACTCAGAAAAACAACTTCTTCAAAAAAACATGCTAGTTTTGTTCGCGAAAAGACTTCAAACCATATACACCGGTTGGCTCAAATTGAAAAAATAACAAAATAAGACGTAAATCCGGTGATTATTGGTTGAAAACAATGCGAAAAAAATTCTTTGAAATCACTAGCAATACCATAAAAATGGCATTGCAAGCTAGCAGACAGGAAAGGAAAAAAGAATTTAAAAAAGCCCAAATAAAACGGAACCATTTTTGAAGAAAACATAATTAAAAAATTTCAAAATGTTGCCTGAAAGGATGTTCTATTTGCGGAAAACAAGCCAAGACACACTTTCGGAGGCATTTATTGTGCAAAAAATAAAAATTCTTGCCATGAAAATTTTTGCATTTTCAAGTCAATTCTGAGATTTTTAACGTTTTATTAGCAATCCGGAGGAGAGCAGACACATTATGCTTCCCTCGAACGGCCCAAAACTTGGTTAGTAAGCGGATAAAAAATAAGCCGAAATTGTTTAGGCCACAACATTTTCAAGCAAAAAAAAACAAAAAAAAGGAAAATAAAAGAAGTCAAGGTTAACAGATTTACAAATTGCAGGATTAAAAGAAAGCATAACAGGCAACCACAATGAAAATTGCATACAGCAAAAAAATTGTACTTAGAACGCTCCAATAGCATTGAATGGATTTGGGCTTTTGGCATATGGACGCATCGTTAAATCAGACCTTGACCAAAATTAGGGCTTTTATAGTGTTCTGGGAGCGCTCGAAAAATCAATTTCTTCGACAAAAAAATAAGAGACGAAAATTTCGAATTTTTTTTTGAACTTCCGCACCCTCGAGAAAATTCTAGATTTGCTCCTGCTAGTGATAAAAACCCAATAGGATTTCGTCGGTTTCTTACTCAAAATAAAATTTGATATCTTTTTGAATACTTTCTATAAAAGAAACTGTAAAGTATTTGCTGAACAAATTAGTTTTTTAGCCGTGTTAGACTGTGAGTGAGAATAAAAACGGATATATTTCTTTAATGATTCTTATAAAACTCGATCAATTTATTGGGTTTAACATGAGGCGAACACTTGAGTGATTTTGCTTGGAGAGCTTTTGGTTTTTTCACGCTCAACTCTAAGTTATCAACATTATTTGCAAACAGCCCGTAAGCAAAAATCCATTTAACATCATATTTCAATGTTTTTAAAATTAAATGTACTTCGAATTACTTTTCACACAGGCAACTGAAAAGCCCTAGCCTCTTTTTCTCTCCCCCCGCCCCCCTCCCCCCCACATTTACGTTTCAGTTTTGAAAAACAATTTTTACGTTGTCATAAATGTAATGAAATATTGCATGGTGAACAAATTAACTATTTGAACAGATTTGTTCTTCATACTTAACATCGTAACATCACGCATTCAGCCATAATATTACCCAAGAAAACAAAGAAAATTGAAAATTTGAAATGTAGGTGGGGGGAAGGGAGGAGGAGTTGAAAAGAGCTAAGCCTTAATTTACCTTCTCCCCCTCTTCTTCCTGCTCTTCCTCATTTTCATCCCCCTCCTCCCCCGCAGTTGCATTCTCAGCGCCCTCCCCTCCAAAATCTCCCCCCTCTCCATCCTTGCCCCGATTGCCCCCTCCATTCGTAATCTCATCGTCCTCATCGTCCCCTCCAGTCTCTCCCCCATCTTGCCCATTCACTTCGTCTTCTTCGGCTACTGTCTCGGGGTAGTTTGAGGCACCGGGTCCTCCGCCGTCCTCGTTTTCAGACATGCCGAATCAAGAGTTTTGGACTGTGGCGACAACTCAATGGTCTAAACCTAATAATGTAATAGTGTTTAATATAATTTAAGGTTTTGTTTCAAAATTAAGACCAAAACATTTTTCCTAATTCTGTTAGAACCAATGCAGGCAGGAAATTTTATATCAGATATCGAAAACAGGCTCAGGGCATTATTCCTGCCTTTTCGAATGGTAAATCAAAATCAGAGCGGTTAAGGCCAAATTTTTGTGTTTTGAGGCTATGCTACCAATTACAAATCCGGCTATTTTTTTCGGTTGTTGATGCAACATTTAATAGACCAGAAAAACAGCCTCCAGCCTCTTCATGCATTTGTTGGAAGCATGCACTTTTCACACAGAAGCATTCAGCATAGAGTATCTAAGTTGATTTTTCTGATCGAAATGCTCCGCCCATCATTAATACACGAGCATGAACAAATCTTATTTTGAGAAAATTAAGTACCCTCGTTCATTGAGCTTTGGATCGAAAGTGGTGTATTTGCTCAATTCAATGTTGCTATCTCATCTTTACAAATCAAAGTTCAATTCATTGCTGCTTCAATTTTGCTACTAATAACAAGGTTGAACAAATTAATCCAAAGTAGTAAGTTAGTTGTTCACACAAAAAACATAACAAGTTTATTGCAAAAATATTTCAGAAAAATGTTATCAGTGGAATTCTCAGGAGTTCAAAAGTGTCCAATATAAACATGTCAAGGTCAAGATACATGTCAAGGTCAAGGTACATGTCAAGGTCAAGATGGCATCCAAATGCATCTTTGACAGGGTAATAGAAATTACTCTTTGATTACTTTTAACCATAGCCCCTTCCCTGTTCTTTCTGTATTTAGAAACAATACAACCTTAAGCAAATCTGTTTTTTCATCATTACCGGGCCAAGCTGATTTTTTGGTTGTGACAAGGTTTCCAAAGTTGTTTTCCCTGGATGCAATACATATTCACCCAATTTGAAAAAAAAAATGAAAACAGTTTGGTATCAAAAAGCTGATAGAATCGAAAGATCAATGATTGAACCAGGGGCAGATTTAGGATTTTTGCGAGGGGTGGGGGCGGATTTTCAAAAAATTTCGAAAATTTTGTCGACCTTTTTTTTTAGGTCGACCAAATAGATTTTCTGAGCTCTCCAAAATCATGATAAAGACCCCATTTTTACCACATTTTCTGCGTCGCAAGCAAATTTTGGCACCAAAGGCGCCTTTAGAAAAATTTTAGGGCCATTCAGCTAAAAACGGATATCTTGAAATAGTATAATAGTCGAATCCCTGAGGATGGGGGGGGGGACACTCCACCCCTAAATCCGCTGGTGGGTAGAACACTATGAGCTAAAATAGGACTTTAGCTAGCAAGAATTTATCTGGAATCCACATAAAACGCAGATTGTAGAGACAATTTCCGCGACATGATTGTTTTGAATTCCAACGACAAACAAATCATGGTGGAATTCTCAGTAAAACAGCGCATTTTTATTAATGATTAGAGATACATTTCGGAACCCAAAAAAAACATGTAATTTAGTAACAAAATAAGGAATCAAGCCCAAACCTACTGAATCTGAAGACAAAACGCAAAATCCAGCCACAAAATGCTTAATCTAATATCAAAATGCAAAATCTAAAAACAAAATACACTATATCGATTAAAAAAATCTCATACAGACCTAAGTTTCAGGTTTTTTTCAAAAAGTTGGAACTTGACGAAAATGAACAGATTTATTTCACAGGAGAAGCGAACTAATAACCAACAGCAGCACCTTTCAACTTTATTACAAAATTTACTCTCGTAGGGATAGATTTATACAGTTTTTTTCACAAAATCAGATGAGCCAAATTTTGCTTAATCCTTGATCAAATTTGAGTCAAGTACAACCCTATAAGCTTTAGCGATAGGGTAACAAGTTTGAGGGAGAATATTTAGAAGGAACTGAAAAAGTGGAGAATCCAGCGAAAATTAAGAAAATTTCGAATTCCATGGAGAAAGTTTATTGTCGCCTTTTGCGTGTTATTGGATTCCATGGGCATCTGCCTCTTCAACATTGAGGTTCCGATTTTTGAAGAAAATGACGGAACGTTTGTACTCGGAGTGGTTTTTGTTCCTATTTTTGAAGAAAAGGAGGAATATGTTTGCCTGGGGTGTTTTCATTTCATTCAGGCCGTTTTTAGTAAACTTTACTGCGTATAGGCTTCAATCCGCAAAGCTTTGGACTGCCAAGCGAGTATGCTTGCACTAGACTAAATAATTATTTGCTTTGTTACTCAAACACATCATTTCAACTACGCGAACTATTTATGCGTGACAAATTACCCGCATTCATAATCGCTCCAAGTTGAATTGAGGCAAGCTAACTGGTATCATCAATTCCATACAGCACTCAAATTTTAACATTTAGAAGTTGATAATTTCAGCTTTAAAAAATTGTAATTTGTCAATATTTCCAAAAATCAATCGAGACCAATCAATGGGCAGTTGGAACGCTCAGGGCTGCTTCGTACTTCAAGAGCAGTCTTGTTTTTTTCTTCAGACAAATTTTTTAACATCTGAAAGGTATTTATTTCCTGAGATCAAAATTAGAAAATATTCACCTGTGATCATTTTTCGTAAAATTATGGGGTTTTAAATGGCTATTTTGTGACAAATAACGCGCGAAATATTTCACGCTTTTAACGAGTGAGCGGGGGTATAGTCCGTCTTAGAAATCGTTCCAAATTGGTTAAAGCAGGCTATTTGCCATAATTGCTATTTTACTTGGAGCAAAATTTTTTACTTTGTATTTTATATCGCTTGATTATTAAAAATCTAAAAAAAATATCTTTTTTTTGAAAAATTCATCAATTGTTATAAAGCGAATACTGCTTCATAGAATTTTCAAGGCAGTCGCAACATTCAGGGCTTTGTCTTGATACGAGCAGATTTAGTATAATTTGAAATGGAATTCAGAGGCAAGAAAAAATAGTATAAAGGGGGAACCTTTGGGCCGGCAGGGGGCGAATCCCTGAGGGGGGGGGGGGGGATGGGGGGTGGAAGGAGCGTCCAAACCTTCTCCCTAAATCCACTGGTGGATTCAACACTAGGAGCTAAAATAAATCTTTAGTTAGCAAGAATTTATCTGTCTAGAATCCACATAAAACGCAGATTGCAGAGACAATTTCTGCGACATGATTGATTTGAATTCCAACGACAAACAAATCATGGTGGAATTCTCAGTAAAACAGCGCATTTTTAGTAATGATTAGAGATACATTTCGGAACCCAAAAAGAAACAATTATTTTACTAATCAAATAAGGAATCAAGCCCAAACCTACTGAATCTGAAGACAAAACGCAAAATCCTGCCACAAATTGCTTAATTTAATATCAAAATGCAAAATCTAAAAGCAAAATACACTATATCGATTAAAACAAAATCTCGTAGACCTAAGTTTCAGGTTTCTTTCAAAAACTTGGAACTTGACGAAAAAGAACAGATGTATTTTACAGGAGAAGCGAACTAATAACCAACAGCAGCACCTTTCAAATTTATTACAAAATTTACTCTCGTAGATATAGATTTATACAGTTTTTTTTCACAAAATCAGATGAGATTTTCATCGTCAACGCCCACACATTCTCTATGATTTTAGATCACGGCTGTAAGGGGGCCATTCGATGGTCTGAAAATGATTTTCGGCTAAATAATCTCTTATGATTTCTGCTCTATGAACAGGGCAATTGTCGCCCATCCGCTTCCAGCCAAATTTTGCTTAATCCTTGATCAAATTTGGATCAAGTACGTCCCTATAAGCTTTAGCGTTGTATGGCGAGATAGTGTAACAAGTTTGAGGGAGAATACTTTAGAATGGACTGAAAAGGTGGAGAATCCAGCGAAATTTGAGAGGATTTCAAATTCTATGGAGAAAATTTTTTGTCGCCTTTTGCGTAATATTGGATTCCATGGGCATCTGCCTCTAAAACATTGTGGTCCGATTTTTGAAGACAATGACGAAATTATTGTGCTCGGAGTGGTTTTTTTGCTATCTTTGAAGAGAAGGAGGTATATGTTTGCCTGGGGTGTTTTCATTTCATTCAGGCCGTTTTTAGTAAACTTTACTGCGTATAGGCTTCAATCCGCAAAGCTTTGGACTGCCAAGCGAGTATGCTTGCACTAGACTAAATAATTATTTGCTTTGTTACTCAAACACATCATTTCAACTACGCGAACTATTTATGCGTGACAAATAACCCGCATTCATAATCGCTCCAAGTTGAATTGAGGCAAGCTAATTGGTATCATCAATTCCACACAGCACTCAAATTTTAACATTTAGAAGTTGATACTTTCAGCTTTAAAAAATTGTAATTTGTCAATATTTCCAAAAATCAATCGAGACCAATCAATGGGCAGTTGGAACGCTCAGGGCTGCTTCGTACTTCAAGAGCAGTCTTGTTTTTTTCTTCAGACAAATTTTTTAACATCTGAAAGGTATTTATTTCCTGAGCTCAAAATTAGAAAATATTCACCTGTGATCAATTTTTGTAAAGTTATGGGGTTTTAAATGGCTATTTTGTGACAATTAACGCGCAAAATATTTCACGCTTTTAACAAGTGAGCAGGGATATAATCCGTCTTAGAAATCGTTTCAAATTGGTTAAAGCAGGCTATTTGCCATAATTGCTATTTTACTTGGAGCAAAATTTTTTACTTTGAATTTTATATGGCTTGATTATTAAGAATCTATAAAAAATTCATCAATTGTTATAAAGCGAATACTGCTTCATAGAATTTTTAAGGCAGTCGCAACATTCAGGGCTTT